TATTTGTGTCATCGGCACTTAGCGTGGTGCCTGGCACATAGTAGGAAATTAATAAAAGTTTGTTTTCTGCATAATTGGTTTCCTTTCTCATCCTATGTATTTTATTTTATGAATTTAGAAATGTGATTCTGAGAAGGGGAGACGGAGGAAGGGAATGTTTATTAAGTACCTACTATGTGCCAGGGGCCGTGCTGAGTGCTTTCCAAGTATCAGCTCATTCATTCCTCACAGCCACCCTGGGAGCTGGGTAAGAATAGGCCCCTAGGCTTCCCGTGATGGCACTGCTGGGGAAAGCTTCAGAGTTTCTGTCATAGGGGCTTGGCTGTCCTGGCCCAAGTTGGCCTTCTCCTTCTCTGTATTCCCAGATTCAGTGGCATAAATAGTCACTCCACATTCATTTAGCTCCTACTGCATGCCAGGCACTGTCTAGAGAGACAGGTATTGTATGAACTGAATACAGTTCATACTGAAGAATGGAGAAGTTGGTTGTGTCCTGTCCTGTTGTGTGTGTGTGGTGGGGGAATTCTCAGCCCCCGAAGGGAAGGATTGAGGTCTTTGGGTTTTGCTTTGCTTAATACTTCTCAGAGTATTTTCACAGACATTCTCTCATTTGAGCTTCTCAGCATCTTTCTAGATGGTATTATTTTCCCCCAGAGAAGTTGTAATTTGTAATAAGATGAAAAAGCAAATTAGGATGGAGGCTCCTGCCTTCCAATCCTAGGCTCTTTCCTAGGGATAGTTTGAACAGCTGGTAATAATGTACGAGCAAGAGCTGAAATTTCTAAGGCACTTTAAGGTTTGCAAATTGCTTCACGTACATTATAACCCTAGGAAGTAGATGCTGTTATTATTTATGTTTTACAAAAATTTAAGTGACTTGTCCAGAGGCACGCATCTAATAAGTGTCTGAGGCAGGGTTTGGACTTGGGTCCCTTGATTCCAGGCCCAGTGCTCTAAAACCTAGAGCACCTAGCTCATCCTCCCCAGACCTGCCTCGTCTAATAGGAATGCAGCCAGCTGTGATCAGTTCACTTTCAGAGGGATACCATCTCTGCCCTGCAGCTTGGCATTCAAGGCCCCCCACACTCTGGCATGCTCCTACCCTTTTAGCCTTCTGTCACACTAATGTTCTCCAGAAGCCCTGCATTCCAAGTGGACTGGACTCTGATCTACTGTTCATTCCTTTCATCTGTGTTCTCGAAAAGGCCACCCCCCGTGCCCGGAGTCCATTCGCTCATCCTCTGTGCTTCTCGGAGTTTTGTCTGCGCAGGCCTCCGCTCAGAAACCCCTTCTGCGTGACCATCCAGTTTTTCTCAGCTTCTCCCACCTCAGTTTATGTTGTCTTTATTTATTTGCTGACAGAACTTCAGGTCTTGGGGGCAAAGAGTGTTTTATTTTTGAAAATCCTAGGCCCTGAAATCTTGTTTTTGACATCCTTATGATTTCTTTTTTAAAATATTTTTCACTTACATGTAAAAACAATTTTTAAGATTCATTATTCAAAATTTTGAGTTCCAAATTTTCTCCTGCCCTCCCTCCCCTCCCTCCTCATTGAGAAGGTAAGCAATTTGATATTGGTTGTACATGTGCAATCATGTAAAACATGAAAGAAAATAGACCATAAAATCCCCAAGAAAAAAAGTCTGCTTTAATCTGCATTCAGACCCCATCGGTTCTTTGTCTGGAGGCGGATGGCCTGCTTCATCGTTAGTCCTTCGGGGTTGTCCTGGAGCATCGTATGGCTGAGAATAGTTGTCATTCCCAGTTGAACACCATGCAGTACGGCTCTTACGTTCTCCTGGTTCTACTCCATTTTGCATCAGTTCATGTAAGTCTTTCCAGATTTTTCTGAGAGCATCCTGCTTGTGATTTCTTGTAGCACAGTGGTGTCTCATCACAATTATATACCACAACTTGTTCAGCCATTCTCCAGTTGATGGGCATCCTCTCAATTTCCAATTCTTTGCTACCACCAAAAGACCCGCTATAAATATTTTTGTACAGATAGGTCCTTTTCCTTTTTTTTTTTCCCGGATGTCTTTGGGATACAGACCTAGGGTATGCTCAGTGTTGTAGCCCTTGGGGCACACATTCTGGTTATTTCATTAGAGTTGGGAAGCCCTTACCTAGAAACTCCTGCTGCAGATGGGCCATTGTCTTCCAATGCCTTGTCTTAGAGAGTGCCCAGCGGTACTTGTTTGAGTCTTGGCTTGAGCTCAGCCCAGTGTTCTCTCCTCAGAGTCACTTCGCAGGTCGCAGGCACTTCACAGGGTTCTGTTGAATTGGTTGGGCTTACTCAAAATCCCACTTCTTCTACTCCCCCCACACTTTCTCATATTAGTAGAAGGATGGTGGGATGGGAACTCGATCTAGTCTCAGGTGGTTTTTAATGGCTGGTCTTGATATTTCTAGTAGGGTCATTTCCTCCTGTTTGTGTCCCCACTTAGGAGAGCACCTGACTCAAGGTGGTGCATTGAATGGATTCGAGAGTGTTATATTATAGTGACGATGGGAGAGGGATGGAAGAATGAGGAACTGGAAGATCGGGGAATTGTGGATTCAAAAGAGCACAGCAGGACTGGGGATGTGAGAAAGGAGGAGGAGGAGGATGTAGGAAGAGAAGGTAGGTAAGAATGGGGGAGGAGAACAGGGATTGTCATCGTCGTTGAGTCATTTCAGTCGTGTCTGACTCTCTGTGACCCCATTTGGGGTTTTCTTGACAAAGGCATTGGAGTGTTTTGCCATGTCCTCCTCCAGCTCATTTAACAGATGAGGAAACTGAGGCAGATAGGGTTAAGTGACTTGCTTAGGGGCACACCATTAGTAAGTGTCTCAGGCTTCCTGACTGAAGGCCTGGACCTCTATCCACTGGGCCACCCAGCTGCCCCTTCACCATCCTAGTCACTTTCCTTTGGACACTGCAAAATAGTAGTGGGTTTTTTTGGGAGGGAGAGGGGAAGGGTGGGAGGTCAAGACCTGTGATTTCATGGTGTGGAGAACTCCCTCTATCAGTGCCAGTGAGCCGCTCTTTGGCCATTTAAGGCGTAGGGTATGGCCCGGAGCACCGAGGGGCACAAGGATATGTCAGGTGCTTTTGGCCTACCTTGGGGCCAGGCCCCTCTTCCTGCTGCCCTGGCAGTACTGGAGCTATGTTTTATTGGGGACGCAGAGGGCTGGCTCCCGGATCCTGCACCCTTGGCTTGGCGTGACGTGGTCTGAGAGCACCTTCACCCACTTCTGACTGGAGGGAGCCGCCCAGGTTTCAGGCTGAAAGGAGTCAGGGAGGATTAGTGGCTTCCCATCTGTGCCTGCTCCACTCTCGGAAGGGAACTTTGAGTAAACCAAGTCATTTTACAGATGAGGAAACTGAGGCAGAGAAGGGGGAGATGATTTGCTCCAGAGCATATTGGCAGCAGCTTGTTTTCCTCAGTTTGTAGTGGTGTCTGACTCTCCCCTCCTCCTCCCGGGGCTGGTGAGGACCCAAGCTCAGAATCAAGGCCCCTGGGTGGCTCCTTCTTCATTTGGTGAATTACCCAGACTTCGGCGGCTCCTCCTACCCAACTTTAGACGACTCCACTAATTAGCCGCAGCTTGAGAGGAATCTATGAATCCCAAATCTTGTAGATGAAGAAATAGGGCCCCAAGAGGAGATGGGGATTTACCCAAGGCCCCTCGGCCTTGCCTGGCATGAAGGAGAAAGGGAAGGAAGAGGAGGTGGACGAGAGGGTGGGGAGAGGCTGAGGGGGCAGAGGGGCACAGGAAGTCAGCAAGGAGGTGGCCCCATCCAGCAGCAGTCTCCTCTGTGCCTCGGATTGTGCTGGGGACTGAGCCTGTCCTCAGGGAGCTTCCTGCCCTCCCTCTCCTTCAGTTGCTGGGCATGTGCATTCCTAGTATCGATCCTTCAGGAGAACGGGGGCTTCTCCTTTGCATTTGGCCTTTGCCTCCTCACCCCCAGCCCCTGCCTTGAGCATAGCGGGTCTTCAAGTGCTCACTGAGTGAATGAGGGTTCAGGGATGTTCTTGCCAGATTTCTGCACCCTCTGGGAGGTGGCATTCCCTGGCCCTTCTTGCTTTGAAGCATCTCCAATTTTAAGATTGATCCTTTGATTCTAGTGTTGACCAAACATCACAGAAGAAAACCAGAACTTTGTAAGGCAGGTTTTTCTGAGGGAGGGCATCAGTATTTATTAAGAAGAGAGGCGTCTTTTCCTTTGTTGGAGTAAAAAATGCCAGAGCCCAAAAAAGGAACATTGTGTGCATTGTGTAGCTCTTTCATTCATGTCACTTTAAGCATTTTTAAAAGGAAATTAATTCAATGGAATGTACTGTAGCGCGGGTGGGATTGTTTCTGTAACAATATCGCTGACCGCCAGCGGCTGGTGGGAAATTGATTTCTCTGCTGGTCAGAAAAGCTGTCCTTTGTGGGCAGAGTGATGTCGGACATTATTGTGAAAACATTCTTTAACAAGCCTTCAGCTACTCCAACTTCACACGAGTTGGAAAACAAGATTTTTAAAAATAACAAAAAGTGGCATTTGTATTTTCTGAATATTTGCAGTGATTCTGTGAGGTGTTGCCATCAGACTCTTTGCCAGTGAGGAGATGGAGACTTTGAGATTAAGGGACTGGCCCAGGGTCATGCAGCCGGGCTTGGAAATCAGGTGTGTCCATTCGGAGATGGGCATTCCTGTGTTAAAGGGTTTATTTCAGGTCACCTTTAGATGCAGAGTCTGCTGCATTCCCCTGTACATGCACTCAAGGGCTTGGTTTATAAATTGACTGCTTGACAGAGACGTTGGAAAGCAGAGAAACTTGGAATGGAGGTTTCAGGCCCTGTTCTCCATGGAAGGTCAGGCAGCAATTGAGAATCAAGAATCTTTGTGATGGAGAGGTCCTGCCCCCGGGCACCAGTAGAGTCTCGGACAGTGAGGACCTTTTCACTCTTCAGGGACGGCGCACCTTTGGCACATTTAAACTTTATGTTTGCCTTTTGTTTTTCAGGACAATCTCTATACATACCATGCCTGTCTGTGTGAGTGAAGAGGCAGACGTCCTCACGCTCGGTATGTCTGTTACACTCATCTTTACTCGGTGGCCAACAGGAAGTTTAGTGAGACCATCTGGGTGCCAGGCCCATGGCTAACTGCCCGCCAGAGTGCTGGCTCTGCTGCTTGCTGGCTGGGACCTGGGCAAGCCTCAGTTTTGTCATGTGTTCAACAAGGGGTTTGAACAGATGGTCTTCCAGGTCGAAGGCAAGATCTGTTAATTCCTCTCAAGAAGGTCAGACTCTGACAATTCAAACTCAGAATTTCCAAAATGTAATCTTTGATTGTCTTTCCCTGAGCCAGCTCCCACTGCTGAGTTTCCCTTGCCCTCTCCCACGGGGCTAGCCTTAGACCTCCCACTGCTGAATCCCTTTACCTTCTCCCACGGGGCTAGCCTCAGAGCTCCCTGAGTCCCCCCTCCTTCTCCCACGGGGCTAGCCTCAGAGCTTCCACTGCTGAGTCCCCACACCCTCTCCCACAGGGCTAGCCTTAGAGCCCCCACTGCTGAATCCCCTTACCCTCTCCCATGGGGCTAGCCTCAGACCTCCCTGAGTCCCCTTACCCTCTTCCACGGGGCTAGCCTCAGAGCTCCCACTGCTGAGTCCCCACCCTCTCCCGTGGGGCTAGCCTCAGACCTCCCTGAGTCCCCCCACTCTCTCCCATGGGGCTAACCTCAGAGCTCCCACTGCTGAGTCCCCACACCCTCTCCCATGGGGCTAACCTCAGAGCTCCCACTGCTGAGTCCCCACACCCTCTCCCATGGGGCTAGCCTCAGAGCTTCCACTGCTGAATCCCCTTACCCTCTCCCACGGGGTTAGCCTTAGAGCTCCTGGTGGTTCCTGTCTCATCCCCATGTCCAACTGGTCACCAAATGCTGTTGATGGAGCTGCTCCCAGACCACCAGCTTGTCTTTGTGTGTCGTTCAGTCATATCTGACTCTTCATGACCCCATTTGAGATTGTCTTAGCAAAAATACTATAGTAGTTTAACATTTCCTTCTCTAGCTCATTTTGCAGATGAGGAACTGAGGCAAACAGGGTTAAGTGACTTGCCCAGGGTCACACAGCTAGGAAGGGTCTGAGGCTGGATTTGAGCTCAGAAAGATGAGTCTTCCTGACTCCAGGCCTTGTGCTCTGTGTACTGTGGCACCCCCTGGCTCTATCTGAAATACCAATTTTATAGTATATTATTTTTCCATCAGTAAATAAAATTACAAGGAAAAATAAATACTGCTGATTTTTCTTCAGCTTGATGCTTTAAACTGAGGTCTTAAAGATAGTATTTTTCAATGGACAGGATGTGTCTGGGTGGCAGTGTGTTGTAGTAAATGGAGAGCCAGCAAGACCTGTGTTTGAATCCTACTTCAGACACTCCCACCTGTGATATTGGGCAAGTCCCTTTGCCTCTGTCTGCCTCAGTTTCCTCAGCTGTCAAATGAGGATAATAACAGCATGTATCTCCAATGAGATAATCATCATAAAATACTTTGCCAGCCTTGAAAAGAGCTCTCTAAAGGCTGTCTCTGCTCCTTCTGTGATGCCTCTCAGTGCCCTGGGCATCTTTCTTCAGAGGGAGTGGCAGAGAGGGTGCCCATCTGCATGGGTACAGGGAGTTTTCCTTGGCCAGGAGTTCCCTTTCCCCATGATATGATGGCCCCAGGCCCTCCCAGTTTGGGAGGTGGCCTGGATTCCAAGAGGGGGAGAGAAGCTCAGAGAGTAACCCAAGCATGGGGCATAGCCCCTGAGCAGGAGATTGCCTAGGGACAGCGGCAAGACCGGCGTGCCTAGACTGTGCTGTGCAGGAAGGGGAGGAACAAAGCTCGAACAGCAGGTGGCTTGGGGCCAGCTCATGAAAAGCTTTAAAAAGCAAAGCGTTTGGTCCTAAAGGCAGTAGGAAGCAGCTGGAGTGTGCTGAGTTGGGAGCCAGATCTCTGGGTGATTCTGTGGGTCTTGGGCTGGCTAGAACACCTATGGTCATGGCTGGAGAGCCCATGCAGACCTGAGCGGCCATCCAGTCAATTCACGTAGTTTACAGATGAGGAAACTGAGGTCCAGGGAGGTGAGATCACACAGCTAACAAGTATCTGAGGCAGGCCTTGAACCCAGATTTTTGTGAGTCCAGGACACTTGAGCCAGGGAGACCCAGTAAGAGGTTTTTCCAGTAATCCTTGTGAGCCATATGGAAGCATGAGTGACAAGATTTGGCTCCTGATTGGATAGAGATGTGGATCTGGGAGAGGGAGGAGTTGAGGGTGATGCCAGAGGTATGAACCTGGGTGACTAGGAGGCCGAGGTGTTTGACAGCAGTAGGGGAGTGAGGAAGAGGTGTGGCTCCTTTTCCTTGGAAGCTAAGTGAAGGAGAAAACCAAGTTTTCCCCTGGGGGATTCCTCTTTCCAGAGTCTGGTTTGCTCTCTGGCCCCTGCCCTGATTCTTCGGGCCCTCAGAGACATGGCATGAAGTCCTCTCGTGGTCACAGAGGAAGTGCCCTGTAGCTGTGGGAGAGAACAGATTGAAATAAGGCCACTCATTCGAAGCCTAGTGTTACTGAGTTAGTGAGAGCCCCTCGCGGCCAGAGAAACATCCTGCCTGCACTCCGTCCTGCGCAACAGCCTTCTTTTTTTAGAGCCTGGCTCCCTCTCTCAGTCTTTCTTGAAGAATGTCACTAGAGGAACTCATTTGAGTTCCCCATTTATTTTTTCTCCCTAGTTTCCAGTCTTTTGCAGCTGTATGAAAAAGCCCTCTAATATCTGCTTTATCCATATGCCCAGTGCTCTCAAGTGGCCAGAAGCTGCCCCACTGGTCGGTCCCATCCCCAGACACTGTCACGAAGGCCTAAGGCTCTGGTTCCACAGGTACGAATGGGGAGAGACCAGAGATTGATTGCCACTGCCTCATCTGGGCAGTGGTCCTGGTGATACAAGGCCTCACCATTCCATGGTGGGTTTAGTTATCCTGCCTTAATCTCAGTGTGGCATTATAGGAACATGTTTGATTGTGGGATTTTTATGATATAATTCCTTTTTAAAAAAAAAGATGCAAAACATTGAGATTGGGCAGCTAGCTGATGCAGTGGATAGAATGTTGGGCCTGGACTCAGGAGGACCTTCAAATTTAGCCTCAGGCACTTACTAGCTGTGTGACCCTGTTTGCCTCAGTTTCTTCATCTATGAAATGATCTGGAGAAGGAAATGGCAAACTACTCCAAATGGGGTCATGGAGAGGGGGTCACGACTGGAATGAATGAACAATAATATTGGGATACCTCATCGTTTCAAAGAAGCTGAGTCACACCTCACAGCTGCCATGTTGATTCCCATAGCTGTCTCATGTGCCCTCTTGCCTGGCTGGTACGAGACCTGAGTGAAGTGTGCATTGTTGCTGTTTGCCCAGTGTATACCTAGGTTTCATTAGCAAAGGAATGGCATTTTAAGTTGGGGTGGCTAGGTGGCACAGTGGATAGAGCACCGGCGTTGGAGTAAGGAGGACCTGTATTCAAATCTGGCCTCCGACTCTTGACACTTATTAGCTGTGTGACTGTGGGCAAGTCACTTAACCCCGACTGCCTCACCAAAAAGGAAAGAAAAAAAAAGAAATGGCATTTTAGGGGATATTTGGGGACTTTGTGCTTCCAGACCAGGATAGTACTTTTTGTGGGATGGGGAGGGGAAGAGTCTCATGGCTGTGCGTGGCTGCATGTTATCTCCAAGGTGACTTGGAGTATTTGGCTCCAAACACTAAGATTTTCTCTCTGCCCGCCTGGATGCTGACCTGCGAGGGGACCAGTGGCAACCTGCCTGCACTGTTAATGTGAGAGGGACATTCCCCGTTTGTTCTCCCCCTGTTTCACGTCCTTCACGGTTACCCCTGAGGAGAAGGTAAATTCCTGAGCCCTTCCGTACCTTCACGAATGTAGTAAAGGGCCCCTGGGCTGGGGGGCGGTCTAGAATAGCGCCATCTCACTCAGTTAATCTGGACTCATCTCTCTCTCCTCCAGTGGGTAATGTAGCCAGCGAGTTCACGCGTCCCTGTTCCTTGTGTTTCAGAGGATGTGGAAGATGAAGAACTTTTAAATGAAAACATTGTACAGCCCTCAGCCCTGTCAACACCACTCCTGAAGCTGCGGGTGACGTCCAAGCCGATGAGCCTCTTGGCAGCAAAGGTGGGTCTGGCCTTTCTGGGGAGAGAATTTGGGGGGATGTGCCTTGATCTTGGGAGGTTTCCTTGCACCTGGCTGGGAGCGCCATTGCCTTGGGCTGTGCTCTTTGTTGGAGCTCTTGGCCTTACTCAGCGTCCTCCCTCCTCCCTTGCCTGGGGAGGAAGGGCATGCTGGTATTGATCTCTGCCCCTCTGCATCTGTATGCACATGTGCTGTTGCAGAGATATGGGAGGCGAGGAGCAGAGAGGAGTACGTGGCCGGTAGAGATGTTCTGGCACTTAAGAGAATGAGTTCTTCAACATAACTGAAGGATCCTAGCCTTCAGAGCGGAAGTCACCGAGGAGGTGCAGGCTCAGACGTGGGCAGGGGGTTTGTGGGAGGCCACCCAGGGTGCCAGGAGCTGAGTGGAGCCACTGGGCTGTGGCCAGCATCTTGTCTAAGCCCTCGTTTTACAGGGCGATGCTGAGGACCAGAGGGGGTGGGAGTTGGGGCGAGTGCCCTCTGGCTCAGTGTCCTGTGCTCTGCCCTCCAATCTCTGGGGCCCCCATGCCGTGCCCTCTGTGGAATATGGCTGTGATGATGCAGCAGCCCTGATGATGCAGATGTGAGCAGGGCACTCGGGGCAGACTTTGGCTTTTGTTGGTCACTGGGCCCAGAGAGACTGCCCAGCTAGTAAATGCTGCAGTGGGCATGAGATCTCCAGCTTGCCTGCCTGCCTGTGTCACACAGTGAAGGTGTGCAGGGGAGCAGGAAGGAGAAAGTGGACCTTTAGTCACTCATCCAGAGAGCAATCTCAGGGAAGAGAACACTGGTCAATGAGTCAGAGGGACCCTCGTTCAAGTCCTGCCCCTGCCCGAGGTTGGCTGGGGGCACTAGACGTGACTCTTAAGATTCTTAGGTGCAAAAAATTGACTGTCCTGCTTTGGTGGAGGGACTGTCCACACAGGGAGTGAAAGGACCAACTGGCAGCTTCAGTTAGACTGCTTCTGACCAGGACTGGTGTCTGGGGAATAAGTGAGGGAGGCTTGCCTGTTACTGAAAAATTCAGTCAATCCCAACCTTTACTCGTCAGCTGCAGTGAACATAAGGGAAGGACGCTTGCTTAAGAAATCGTTGTAGTTGATGGGAAACAAAACCGTCAGGAGCAGCTTTGTTGAGAGACGCTCTCTATTTTCAGCTCCATGTCTGCCGATGTAGGCCGTGGGCCAGATGGTGGGCTGGTAGCTGCTACACCAAAATAATTGTGAAGTTTTCCTTGTTTTTGATGAACAGAGGTCCAAGTCTATTGGAAAGCAGTTTGAGAGAGTGAGAAGCTGTCCCGGCCCAGGGATGATTCAGGGAAGTCAAGACCTGGAAGACTGAAGGCACGAGGGGGCAGGGTAATCAGAATCTGAGCCTGAAGCCCGCCCTTTCACTTAGTCAGCAGGCAGAAAGAAAGGACTCCTTTCAAATCCATTTTTATACCAGGTCAAGTCAAGGAGGGACCAGGACAGAGCAGGTGAGGCTCATCCTGAGACCAGGTCTGAAGCTGGGATGCCAGGCATCCGCCTCTCCTTCTTGGGAGCTGATCCCCTAAAGTCTTTGGGATAATTGACAGTCCCAAGGTGGATCCCAGGCAATGCACATGTATGTAAGTTCAGGCAGCAAAGAGAGTGGCAAGAGGTCTCCTGGCCTCGGTCATCGGGCCCAGCTGCAGCGATGGAGAGATGTGAAAACACGCAGCAGAGGGTGAAGTCCCCCAGGCTGCAGAGAGGAGGGGGAGAGGAATGTGCTGAGGCCGCTGAGCAGGAGACAGTGGCCAGGACTAACGGTGGGAATGAGAAGCTGGTCCATGGTGGCATGGCAGAAAGTCCTGAATTACGAGCTGAAGGTGATCTTGGCAAGGTGACATAATGAATCAGTCAATCAGTAAACATTTATTAAGTGCCTTTGTGCTAAATGCTGGGGATGTACCTGGAGGCAGGAAAGTCCCTGCCCTCAAGAAGCTTGCAATCTAATGGTGAAACAGCATGCAAACAAATATATACAAAGTGAGCTATAGACAGGATAAATAGGAAATTTGAAATAGGAAACAAGGAAGGCTCTAGAATTTAGAGCAGCTGGAGATGGCTTCCAGTAAAAGATGTGGTTTTATCTGGGACTTACAAAAACCAGGGAGGTCAGGAGGCAGAGTGGAGGAGACAGAGTATTCCAGGCAGGGGGGAGACGCGCAGAACCGAGAGATGGTGTCTCATTCGTGGAGCAGCCAGGAGGCCGGTGTCGCTGAAGGGGACTGGAGAGGATGCAGTGGGAAGTGAAGTATAAAAAGACTGGAAAAGCAGAGGGAGAGGCCTGGGTTATAAAGGTATCTGAATAACAGACTGAGTATTTGGCATTTGCTCTGAGGCAGGAGGGAGCCCCTAGAGTTTCCTGAGTAGGGGAGGGACAGTCAGATCTGCTTAAGGAAAATCGCTTTAGTTGCTGAATGGAGGTTGCATTGGAGGAGGCGAGAGGGGAGCTCATGGTAAATGACAGAAATAAGAGGGATAGTTAATCAGTACCGAGAGCGATTAAAGCATTAAATGGTGATAATATTAATAATTATAATAATACAAATGTAAACCCAAAATAGGCTTACAGATTGAGCAGATAAACTCGCTGGCACTGGTCCTCCCTTACACAGAAATGCTGCCTACTACTTCCTGGAAAGAGCACTGCTCCGTAAAAATGTAAGAAGAGTATTTCAAACGGTTTTTGCCATCCTGAATACTCATCTTCTCCAGACTACATGCAGTGAAAAGCCTTTAAAATACAGGAGTCTAGTGAAAGAAATGAAAATGGTCTCGGGACAGGACACAGTCCACGTGGTCGCTGTGAGCCTGTCTGCCCCCGAGGGGCCGGCACGGATTCCCCACAGACCCCAGCCCTCTGAGGGTTCAGCCATTCCCCAACTGCTAGGCGTCTCCTCCGTTTCCAGTTCTTTACAGCCAACAGGAAGAGGAATGACAAACAATGACTGAGTTACATAGATTTGTCGGTGGAAATGGAGGGGTTGGTGATGGTATTCAGGACCAAGTTATTGCCACCAGAAACTACCAAAGGAATCTCCCCTAGGAAGCTGGACGTGGTGATCAGCACAGATTGTGCAGCATGCCATACAGGCTGTGAAAGTGGACCATCTGCTGAAGACCTGGGGGCTAGAATCGCGTGTCAGAAGCTTTGTGTCTTTCATGGCTGACAGATGACAAATCCCTGTAATACAAACACAGGCTCCAGAGTATCCGGAGAATTCAGCCTATAAATTGTACAGGAATTGGGCCATCATCAGAGGCCAAAGTGCTGCCCGTAATCACTCAGACATAGCAAAAGCCCAGGAAAACCTAAAATGTGTCTTTTCAGTCAGTACCATCCTACCAAGTACTCCTTGTCTCCTGATTCTGTTATGGGACAGAGGAGAGAGCATGGGGGGTGGGGGTCAGACTGAGCTTCATGCCATCTCGTGTCTTTTATTCAACTACTGAAGCAGTTATTTTGTCCACCTGTACCAATGTCTTTAAAAGATTAAATATAAATGAGGAGTGGCCGGTTACTAACTTGTCCCTGGACCATTTGTATCTCAGCAAAAAGAGGAAATAATCAAGTCTACCATGCTGTGCTGTTTGGTGCAGACTGCCACTTGCAGATGCTTTATCCATCACTTGGGATTCGTAGAGACATTAATAGTTCCAAGAGAGTAATCTCTGCAACGGCATCAGAGCAGGGAACCCTGCTCTTCTGCCAAGAGCTGATGGGTTGGAGATTTCCTGCACCAAGTCAGTGGTGGGCCTCTGCCCCAGCACCGCTCTGACATGTGCGTAGACGCTCTGACCGCTGAAGGGAAGAATGCAATAGATTGTTGCTTAATGCCATATCCTGGAGCTGTGAGGAACATTAGATTTCATTTTTTTTAAAGTAATATTTTATTTCCTCCTAATTACACGTAAAGACAATTTTTAACATTTGTTTTTTAAAATTTTGAGTTCCAAATTCTCCTCTTCCCTCCACCCTTCCCTGCAATGGTAAGCAATTTGATATAGGTTATACATGTACAGTAATGCAAAACACTTCCATTTTAGTCATATCGTGAAAGAAAACACAGACCCCCCCAAAAAAAAACCATGAAAAAATAAAGGGAAAAATAGTCTGCTCCTGTCTGCCTTCAGACGCCATCAGTCCATTTTCTGGAGGTGGAGAGCAATTTTCCCTCACGTGTCCTTTGCAGTTGTCTCAGATCAAGGTATTGTTGAGAAGAGCTATGTCATTCCCAGATGTTCATCGTGCAGTATAGCTGTTCCTGTGGACAGTGTTTTCCTGGTTCTTCTCACTTCATTTTGAATTGGTTCCTCTGAGTCTTTCCAGGTTTATCTTATTTTTTTACTAAATTTTTTTTCAAATGAAAATCAGTCTTCTGTCCCTTCCACCCCCTCATTGAGAAAACAAGAAAATCACAACCCTTGTTACAGACATGCATAGTCAAGCAAAACAAATTTTCATTGTGCTCATGTCCTGCCCCGCCCAAAACAGGGTTGCACTTTGCACCTTGAGTCTCTCACCTCTGATCTGGAGGCAGGTAGCGTGCTTGTCTCATCCTGAGGCCTCCAGGATTGTAGCTGGCCATTTTGCTGCTCAGTTTTCCAAAGTTTCTTTCAGGGTTATTTGTCTTTACAGTATTGTTATTATGTATAAATTGTTCTCCTGATTCTGTTCACTTCATTCTGTCTCAGTTCATACAAGTCTTCTCAGATTTCTCTGAAACTATTCCCTTCCTTGTTTCTTATAGCATGATCCGTTACATCACATTCATAGACCGCACATTGTTTCACCATGCCCTCAGTTTCCACTTAGTTGATTTCATCGGTCTTAGATGAGGCCTCCAAACCCCATGCAGCTGTTGAGCCAATGCGACGCTGACATAGTGACTCTGAACACCTTTGGTTCACACATCCTGCATAGGACCAGAGATTCCCCAAAGGGAAATGTAAGGGTCATGGACAGAATGCTGGCTTGAGTCCAGGACTTGAGTTCTTCTCTTTTGCTCACTAACCGTGTGACAAGGTCCAGTTGCTCACCAGCCAGCCTCCCAGAGGAAATCAGAACACCTGCTTGTGTCGCCTCACCAAGCCGTCCTGAGCATCAGACAAAGAGAATGGATCTGGAAGGAGGGATTGGAGAGTTAAACATCCCTGGAGGAACTGTTATTCACTAGACATGGCACGTTGGGTTTCAAGCATGAAATACACTGCCAGAGCTCTCCTCTTTTTGAAACAAGGGAAGGCTCTGTGCAGCCACAGAGGTGACTTTTGTTTCACTGTTATCATTACAAGTCAAATTATTCCATTTTCTTCTTTTTAAGGAAATAAAAACCGTTCTGTTTGGCTCAGCTCTTTGTGGCTTCAATGAAGAATGGAAATTGCAGAATTTTACGTTCAGTGAAATGGCTCAGCTCAAATATGGCCTCGTGCAGAACAAGGTAGGTAGCTTGGATCTCTGCCACCTGTGGCACTGGGAGGAGGCTTGGGCTGTAAAGGGAGGGAGGCTGTGTTTGTACCCTGAGAAATCTGAGTCCTGAGAGACCCAGAATCAGCTTGACTTTTTGTACTGCCTATCCCCAAAGCCCATTCTTTCCCCTCTGGCCGAGACCCACTTTGGAAGCCGTGGGGCAGGGAGCACAGGCACAGAGCACCTGGCCACAGGGAGCTCTCCTGGCTATCAGCAAGGCTGACTTGACCTTCTTGCACCAGAGGCATTTGACTATATTTTTGTTGAACGGTTTTTTCCTTTTCACTTTAGCAAAGCAGATGTTCTGTAGTTGCTCTTGGCCGACCTTTTCACCTACCACATTTTTACCTGGGTTCAACATATTCCAAATTGTTTTCCTGAGATTTCATTTCACATCAGCCTACGATAAAAGCATTGTCCAATGATGCTGAAGATCTGAATGAAGCTTTGTTTCTAACCCTGTGAGGACCAGTACATTCTGTCTCCCTCTGCTTCAGCCCCTATGGGTGGGAGTGGGTCTGGGTCCCAAAGACTCCAGCTGGCCCTCCATTCGCTATCCATTCTGATCCAGCATGGCAGCCCAGGGTCACACCTGTGTGTCTCTAGATGACTTGGGATGATGTCCAGAATCCCTTGGTCTGGAGGGGAAACAAGAGGAAGCTTATTCATTAAATGCCTACTGTGTGCCAGGTGTGGTCCTAAGTGTTTTTTACAAAGCCTGTTCCGTTCGTTCCTCATAACAACCCTGAGAGGTAAGTGTTGTCATTATCCTTACCTTACGGATAAGGAAACTGAAATGGGGATAGGTTTGGTGATTGGTTTAGGGTCACAGAGCTCGTTGGTGCCTGAGACTGGATTTGAGCTCAGTTCTGGGCGTGGTGGTGACACACACGGCCAAGGTGAATCAGGCCTGGCTTCTCAGATGCCTCAGGAGCACAACTGTGTTGCCTCTGTGGTTGTGTGTGCAGAGCCAAGGGCACTCTTGGCTGCCTTTCAGAGGCCCTGGGTGATGTTCCATCAGTTTCCTAGTTAGTGGGAAATCTGCCCGGTGGTATGAGATTGTGGACAGTCTAAATGGCAGCCTAGAATCATTGCTGTGTTGGATTCTTTGTAGGGGGGGCCCTGTGGCGTTTTGGCAGCGGTGCAGGGCTGTGTCCTGAAAAACCTCTTATTTGGAGGAGAAAGCAGAAGAACCAGCGTCCGGTAAGTTGCCCACTCTGATGGAGCTTCTGAATTTAAGGAAACTTTGGGAAATTTCCTCTGGAGAAGACAGCCGAGCTGCCCCACACTAGCAGGAAATTACCCATCTGCAAGGGGTTAAAAAAAAAGAGAAGCTCATTGGCACTCCATTTATAATTGCAGCGTTGATTGGACTGACTTAACCATTGTCCACGTTAGTTTCTTTTTATAAATTCATTTATTTTAAACATTCTTTTCTTTTGAAATTTTGAGTTCCAAACTCTCTCCTCTCCCACCCACCAGGAAGGCAAGTAAAATGATATCAGTTATACATGTGAAATCATGCAAAACATATTTCCATATTAGCCATATCACAAAAAGCAAGATAAATAAAGGGAGAAAATTAAGCTTCACTTTGCACTCGGAGTTCATCAGTTCTCTCTCTGGAGGTGGAGAGCAGTTTTCCCTCATGAGTCCTTTGGAATAGTCTTGGATCATTGCATTGATCAGTAGCCAAATGTTTCACAGTTGATCATCATTACGGCATTGCTGTTACTGTGCGCAGTGATCTCCCTGTTCTTCTCACTTCACTTTGCATCAGTTCATGTAGGTCTTGCCAAACTTTTCTGAAACCACTCCCCTCGTATTACTTAGAGCACTACAGTATTCCATCACAATCACTTACAGGCTTGTTCAACCATTCCGTAATTGATGGACATCCCCTCAATTTCCAGTTTTTTTGCCACCGCAGAAAGAGCTGCTATAAACGTATTTGTACTTATAGGTCCTTTTCCTATTTCTTTGATTTCTTTGGGGTACAGACCTAGTAGTGGTATAGCTGGGTCAAAGTATCTACAGTTTTATAGTCCTTTGGGCATAGTTCCAAATTGTTCTCCAGAGTGATTGGACCAGTTCACAACTCCACCAGCAGTTCATTAGTGTATCTATTTTCTCCTCCTCCTCTCCAGCATTTTTCATTTCTTGTAAGTGTGAGTTATTTTAATTTTCATTTCTCTAATCAGTAGTAAAACTAGAGCATTTTTTCATATTACTATAGATAGCTTTGATTTCTTCTTCCGAAAACTACCTGTTGTCACTTGGTAGGGTGGCTCTTATTTTTACAAATGTGACTCAGTTCCCTTTATAAGGGAATGTTTAAGAATGTTTGATATTACTTCATTGTCTGTGGTACCTTTTAGCACAATGTGGTTTCCCTGCTTACCTCTTTTAATAAGGTCTACTTTGCTTTTGCTTTGTCTGAGATCGTGATTGCTATCTCTGATTTTTTTTTCTTCAGTTGAAGCATAATAAATTATGCTCAATCCCGTTATTTGAACTCTATGTATGTCTTTATGTTTCAAGTGCCTCTTGTAAACAACTCATTGTTGGATTCTGATTTCTAATCCATTCTGCTATCTGATTCCATTTTATGGGTGAGCTCTTTCCCATTCACATTCAATTATGATTATTACCTGTGCATTTCACTCAATCCTATTTTATTCTGTTTATTCTTTCTCTCTTTTTAGTCTGCTTCTGACCACCACCTCCCTTAATCCACCCTCCCTTTTGTTGTCATCCCTCTGCTGTATCTCTTATCTATTTTCCCTCCTGTTTCCTTATTGGGTAAGATAGATTTCTATTCCTAACTGTCTTTACATACATACATACATACATACATACATACATACATACATACACATACATACATAGATTCTTCCTTCTTTGAACCAGTTCGATGAAAGCGAGGTTCAAGCATTGCCTGACCCCCCCATTTTCCCCTCTGCTATAAAAGTTCTTTCTTGTACACGTTTTATGTGAGAAAATTTTTCCTATTCTATCTCTCCCTTCCCCTTCTCCCTACGCTTTCCTCTTTTCCTTCATTTTTTTTAAGCGATCATCCCAGCATAATTAATTGATGCAAACCCATGCCCTCTGTCTATATGGACTCCTGTCTGCCCTACTAATGATAAAGTTCTTAGGAATTGCATATATCATCTTCCCATGTAGGAATGTAAACCGTTTAATTTTATGGAGTCCCTTATGATTACTCTTTCATGTTTACCTTTTTGTGTTCCTCTTGAGTCTTCTGTTTGAATGTCAGATTTGCTGTTTGGCTTTGGCCTTTTCATCAGGAGTTCTTGAAAATCCTCTATTTTGTAAATATCCATTTTTTTCCTCTGAAGAATTATACTCAATTTTTCTGGGTAGGTTATGTAGTCCTAGCTTTTTGTCTTCTGGAACATCATATTCCGAGCCTTCTGCTCCTTTAATGTGGAAGCTCCTCAATCTTGTGTGTAATCCTGACTGTAGCTCCATGATATTTGAATTGTTTTTTTTTTTTTTCTGGCTGCTTGAAGTATTTTCTCCTTGACCTAGGAGGTCTAGAATTTGGCTTACAATATTCCTGGGAATTTTCATTTTGAGATCTCTTTCAGAAGGTGATTGGTGGATTCTTTTAATTTCTATTTTACCCTCTGGATCTAAGATATCAGGGTAGTTTTCCTTTATAATTTCTTAAAATATTATCTCTAGACTCTTTTTTTTAAATCATAGCTTTCAGGTAGTCCAATAATTCTTGAATTACCTCTCCTCAATCTCTTTTCCAGGTCATTTGATTTTCTGATGAGATATTTCACATTTTCTTCTCTTTTATCATTCTTTGGACTTTGTTTTATTTTTTTCTTGATGTTTCATGGAGTCATTAGCTTCCACTTAGCAAGTTCTAATTTTTAAGGAATTATTTTTTCAGTTAGTTTTTGTACCTTTTTTTCCCCATTTGGCCAATTCTGCTTTTTAAGGCGTTCTTTTCTTCAGTGAATTTTTGTGCCCCTTTTACCGTTAGGACAGTTCTGTTTTTTGAGGGATTATTTTCTTCAGTATTTTTTGTGCCTCCTTTATCAAGCTGTTAGTTCTCTTTTCATGATTTTCTTGCCTCAGTCATTTCTCTTCCTGGAATTCTTGTTGGGCTTGGATACAATCAGCATTTTTTTTTGAGGCTTTGCTTATAGCTATTTTCACATTGTTGTCTTCTCAGTTTATGTCTTGGTCTTCCCTGCCACCGTAGTAGCTTTTTATGGTCAAGTTCTCTTTTTGTTGCTTGCTCGTTTTTCTAACCTGTTTCTTGAATTTGGACCTTCTGATGAAGTTGGGTTCTGCTTACCTTGGGGTGGGGAGGCCCTGTCCCAAGCTTCTGGCTCTTCCGTGCTGCCGTTTTCAGAGCTGGTGCTGGGGTCTGCAAGTGTTTGGTGCTTCCTCGGCAATGTTGTCTGCAGGGAGGTGTGATCAGTGCTCTCCTGAAGCCACAAGGGCTTGTGCTCCTTTGGAAAGCCCTGGAACTGGGACTGGGACCCCTGCTCCCTTGTGACTGACCACACATGCTCCTCTCTGCCCTAGAACTGCAAGCAGAACCACGCATCTGTGCCAGCCAGGGGTCCCCCGTAGTCCGATGCTTACCATTTGTCAGACCCCCCGTCACCATGTCTGGGCTGAGCACTCCCAGAGCTGCCGCCGCCACTGCCACCGTTGCTCTCCCAGCCATCTCCGGACCCCCAGCTGGAGCTGCTGCTGCATTCTGGGCCTCCTCCCACCTCGGGATCACACGCCTCTCCTGCTGACCTCCCTCGTTGTCTCAGGCTGGAGAGATGTGTCCCCCCGACCTTTTGTGGTTCTGCTGCTTTACGTTTTGATTTGAGGGCTTCTTGGGTGAGGTTTGGAGAGTTCGGCTGGGTCGCGGTCTTCGATCCGTCATCTTCCACATTAGTTTCAACAGTGCCAGTTGATCCTCGCCCTGTCTTCTCGACAGCCTTCTCTTCAGATGAGTCCTGGCTTCCCTTTACCCTTCCCAGCAGGGGTGGCATGCTTGGGCTGCGTGCTGGCCTCACCTCCAGTCAAGTGCTGCTGTCGCTTTCCACACAGTTATCCCAAGTCTGAAAGCCTGAAAGAGCTTCAGGGCCTCACTCTTGAAGACAGGAGTGCGCAAGGCCACCCTTGGTTCCTTGTGGTTCAGAGGGCTCTGCTGAGGACACGGGGCTGAGACTGGCCTGCGCGAGCCTCATCCCTTTTGTCCGTGGCCATCTGCCGCTCATACCCTGTCCCTGCCCTGGTCACCATCCTCCTGTCCTCCCTAGATGCTGGGCCTGAACTGACCGCCGATTGCAGCTGTGGTGTGTGCGCCCAGATCAGCGAACAGAGAGGCCCCCGCCTGCCTTTTTCTGCACGCTTAGCGTCCAGTGCGTTTGCTAGAGGCCATAACCCATCACTGATTGTTATTTATTGGTATCATTACTGCTGTCGACACTGTGCTGGGCTGCGTCTCAGCGTCATTCGTGGCACCTCACTGGACACCGCCTTCCAGATGGACGCCAGGGCTTTGGATCAGGGCTTTCGAGCAGTTCCACCCCCAAGAACCTCTGCTAGGACTCTGGCCACATCTTTCTTGGGCCCCCAAGCATGCTGTGGATCATTCTTATAACCCTGCCCCAAACCTCGGTGACTTGTTCTGCTCTAAGTCTGACCGCTTCTCTGCCCTCCAGCTTTTCACTCGGTCGCTGTGATTTTGATCGTGTGTAAACCCAGAGGGGTTTTTGCTGCTTCCTTCCCTTCTCTTCACTTGTGTCACCTGTGAAGTCCCTTTCCTTGCCTCCTCAGTGTGAGAGCAGGAGAGTGGTGCTGGCAGGTCCTCAGGGTGACCTGAGCCTGATGGCAGGGTTGTGCAGGGGCAGGCTGGAGGTGGCCACCTGCTCGTGGATGCCCTCTCTTCTCTGAGCAGGATGGCGCTTGTGCTGAGCCCTTGTTCCGAGTGTTGGGCGTCTGTCCCTCCGACTGGGACCGTGGACAGTCAGGATCTCTGGATCAGGAGGACCGAAGGACCGCAGGGCCCAGAGGACAGACGCCTGGGTGCGAAGGCTGTCTCTGCTCCTTAGCTGGCCTGTGTCCCTGGCTCCTTTTGCAGGAACGTGCTGTGCCCTGAACTCTGATCATCCAGGAACTCTTGAATGGCCAGAGTTGGGCCCTGGTTGGCCCCT